GTACTTGCCGAAACATTCTTATTTTTTTATTAATTCTTGAGGTTATAATAATTTCAATAATCTGGTTATATATATATTTTTGGCTTTCTCTTTAAGGGTACAGTACATAGAAGTTCGAACTAATTTTTATCAATTTTATAGAATCTATAAGTCGAAATATTCATATTTGTATACCGATCCTTATAAACCAATTGTGCATAGAACTTTTGGTATCGATCAATATAAATTTTAGTATTTATTAAATCAAATAAACGATTTTTTTGCTGAAATAAAGGCTAGAAGTCACGGGTTCGGATATCCATATTATGATGGGTTAGTACTGTATTAATAAAAATAACTTCAAAGTTGTCTAAGTTACTTTATTTTATTTAATTTTGCAAAAATTAGAAATTTTAATTTTTTCATTCAAATAAGATAATTTCACAATATTAAAAATAAATAGTTTTTTACCTTTAATATTTGAGGCACCTTGAACTACTTTCAAAATCTTCACTTCTTCAAATTTTTAATTCCACAATTTTCTTTAATTTCATTGCATAAATCTGTTATTATTTACTATTAGTATCAGAATTATTTTATTCGAAATTGTTGTAGATCGTTGAATAAAATTTTTAAATCTGTCTCTTAACATCATTTCCTTGTAATTGATATTTATTCTGCTAGCTTTTCTTTCTAATAAAGAATTTTTAATAATAAACTTGACCAATCATCAATAAGATGCAATTTACCAATCATGAATTACATTATTTGTATTACGTTTGTAAATGATAATCATTTTCTATTTGATGATCTTATAAAAATATGGCAAATGTAAACTTGCCAAGATCGTGCGAATAAAATATATTAAAATTCGGTAGTATTATTTCTTAAGAATCTTTTTAAAGAATACAAACGGGAGTATCATTGTTCCTATTTCAGAATGATATCCGATAAAGAAAAGAAAGTACGTGTAGGTATTGGACCCAGTCAACATACTGTAAATTTAAGTAATGACAATATATATACTGTTATGTAGAATAAGATATATACGGGATTTCTTACTTAATTATAGCAGTATTTCAATGGGATATTTATAGAATGATTTTCTTGTTGCTAAGATCTTCATTACTAAAAGAATGTGTCTTCAAAATTCTTTGTACTTTACTTCAAAAAGGTCTTTTGTTCAAATGGT